CACTTCTTTAAGTGCTCTTGTATCCGTTCCCAGTTCCCCTTTCCCACAGGGGGCTGCAGCCTGGGTCCTAACGCATTCCTGTGGAATATTCTAGTCAGGAACCCAGCCCTTGGAAAACCCAAATCTTTTCTGAGAGGTAAAACATTCTTTTTTTCACACACACACAATCTCTGTCTTCCAAGGCTGTTTGCCCCACAGATATCCTGAAAAATAGAATCTGGACCCATGGTGGTTGCGCTTCCTGTTGAGTACACGTGCAAAAACTAGGAGACCCTGGAGAACTGTCTCCCTCCAGCGTGCGGGTAGAGCCATTGGAACTGGTGGGAGGGTGGCTGACGCGTTACAGACACGGATGCCTGAGGGCTCTGTTCTTTCCGGGAACCCAGGTTGGAAACAACTGCCTGCTGTCCCCCAGTGCCTGGTGTTCCTTCCGATTGTCGTAAATCAAAGAAGGGAAAGATCAGATCAGAAACCTCTTTTAAGGCTAATATCATTCTGTACTACTCTTTGAGAAAATCGATATGATGTTTTACAGTCTTCACTATGAAAAATGTTTTGATCCCTTATTATAAAAATAGTACCCAGAGGAGGAGGAGATGGCTATATGACAAAGCTCATATCCACACATTTCTGCTTTTGGAAAGTTAGAGTGTGCCTTTGGGGGACACCCCTGGGCCAGGCCGCCCCCGCCCTCTGCTGTGGGAGGCGTGGACTCGTGGTGTATGAGTTGAGTTTTTGTTTTCTCATTTCTCACTCTTCCCCACTCTTTCTGTGGAAGGAGTCTTGTCTGGTCAAGCAGTTTTTGTTTCCGAGCCCTTGGTTGGCTGCGTGGTCTCCTCTTTCACAGGGCTTCCACTTCTCCCTGAGGCTTTGGCCTCATCTCCATAGATCAGCCTTGTGTCCTGCTGCCTCCTATGGATATTACAGCTCCCCAAATTTGTGCCCATGTGGGATTCTGAATTCCAGAGAAGCATCTGGCTGAGGCTTCTGAGATAGTATGGGAAAACTCACAAGGGCAAATTTAGGCCAAAGTGAGAAGTCTGAAAGGTTATCTTGCTGAACTGTTCATTTCTGCATGACACAGCACATGTCACAGAAGGTAAAACAGGTGAATTTTGTTGATTCTGAGTTCCTAATTTGGGACAAAATGGAGAAAACCAAGCTAAGGGACAAGTCTTTTACTTTCTGCAACTGTTCTTTCCACTATTCTTTACAAAGATTAAGGGGAGTGCCCCTCCCCCCCCAAAAAAGGGAGAAAAAACATATTTTCTTTATCAAGTAAGATATGAGAATTAAGTAGATGATAGCTATACAATTTATGGTCTTTATTTTGGAAGAGCCTTATAAATATAGGCACATTGTTTATCTCCACCCTTTAGCTGTCCTCCCTCCAAGCAGATGGATGGCGATCCTTTAATCACTTGACTATTTATGACGAGGCAGAGCTGCTGGGGGTGTGGTACAACATCTCATCTTTCACCACCACCACCCTCCAAGCACCTGGAATAATTGCTGGGAGATTAAATGGTGATTGTTTGGCTAACTGTGGCCTTAAATTCCCTGTCAGAGCATCACTCATCCCTCTCTGTTCTTTCCCTTCCTGATTAGTAAGACAACATTAAAGGTTTATTTTCCACCGAAGAATGGAGTGACTTTTGTAGCTGGTGATTCATATCATTTGAAGATTTATAGTTTCTTGGCTTGGGATAAATTGGGTTTTACGACTCCCAAATCAATGACCAGGTAGAGGAATTGTAAATAAGTTCTTCAAAGAATAATGTGTTTTGAATGCCCCCCACTCTGCCCCCTGCCCTGTGTGTTAAATATCCACCAAGTCAGTAGTGCAGTACTTCATGCACCTGATTTGTAAAATCCAGTTTGGGCTTTAGAACTTTTCCCTTGGTTGCACAAATGTTGGGTGAAGGCTGCCTGTGCCTGGTGCTCATCCTGGCTCTGTGAGGGATATAAAACGAGTCGTGGACCTGATTTCCACACACAGGCAGGAGAAGCATCTGGGAAGGTTGAGATGGATTGTTCTCTGATGGCATGAAGGCAGTGAGAGGGTCGTTCTCCTGGAGAGGAAGGGGCAGCGTGGGACTACGGTGCAGTAAAAATGGATAGAATATGGGATCAGTTCTGTTATAAAAGAAGCAGTCAAAACTGTGCCCAGAAATATGGGGAAGGACAAGGAAGCTGCTTCAAGAAATTGCTTTGAGCTGAAGAGGCTATGTTTGTGGTAAAGAGCATCTAGGGTTGGCGAATGGTGAACACCTGTGTGTTGTTGCAAGTGACTGAATGAGGGGCTGAGTGCAGCTTTCCTACCACGTACAAGGTCATGGGTTCAATTCCCAGCACTGCCAAAAAAAAAAAAAAAAAAAAGTAATAAATAACAGATGGAAATAGGCAGCTTTTGAAGCTATGCTTTCGAGTCTCTCGGTGTTACCATAGTCCCAAAGCTACAGGTCTAAGATACTTGAGAAATAATTCTGATCAATATGTGTTTGTTGTTTAAACTCTCTCCAGGAGTCTTTAGCTTTTTGAAATTTGGAACTGTTAAGGGGTGTGCAGTTCCAAGTCTTCAAAGATCTACTTTTCACTGGAAGAGAAGGAATATCTGGAACATCTGTGCCTCTAAGTCCAGATCACTGGAGCAATTTGACTTTGGTTTTCTAAGTAGTGAACTGATATGGTGCTGGATTAGACAAGATTGGGTTGACCACAGACCTAGAGAAGCACAATGACCATATCTCTAGTTTGGGGTTGTGGCTCGTTTGGGGGTGGGTTGGTATCATTTGGACTGTAGTCTCAGAAGGGTGCAGAGTGGACTCTGTTCCCCACCAGTCTGGAGCTGGCACCCTGGCCATCCAGGACTGGGCTGTTGTGCATTTGATGTTCCACGTCTTCTGTCCAGTAATCCTCTCCTTCAAACTTCTGTCCTTAGTCCAAGCCAGACCCGGCCATCTATGGTCCAGTGGCTTAACCCACAGTCTCCAACCACACCAAGCTCCAACCCGGCTATCACACCTCCTTCACCCAGAACGTCAACCTTCCCCCTCTCTCCTGCTGCTACCATAGTGGACAAGCCGCCGGAAAGGTATGTGGAGTGTGATATAAAATATGATGGTGGCACACAGATGGTGCTTGATGGACTTGTGTGCTCCAATTATAAAGCAGCTTGTCCATGGCCCCCTGCCCCAGCATCCTGAACTTTAAGGACAGTGCTTATGACTCTGTATCAGGCTGTGCCTCAGTTCAATACCAAGTACAGTCCTCTCAGTATCCTCTGGGGAGTCCTGGTTCCAGGATGCTCTGTACATACCAAACTGAACCAGTGGCTCAAGTTCCTTATATGCAATGATGTAGTCTTGGCATATAGACTACACATGTCCTCCTGTATACTCATGCCATAGCTAATACAGTAAAAATGTTATGTAAATAGTTGTTAACCCATAGTGACAAGAAAATTGTGTGTACGTATTCAGTTCAGATGCAGTTTGTTTAAGTAAGATATTTGATCCATGGTTGGTTGAAAATGCAGTTGGAAACTCTTGGATACACAGGGCCAGAGGTACTTTCTTCAGAGGAATTTGCCTTCTATGCAATCTGCTCGAACCTACTGACTTTTTGGTGCTGGTTGTGCATTTATGAAATCATTTATTTAGGAAGAACTTCTTGTACATGAATATAAAACACATTATTTGTTTTAAAGGAGAGCAAACTGGACTCTAGAAAAATTAACTTACATGCCGTTTAGTAGAGCTGGCCTTCAGCATACCTGCCTGCCTGGGTATCTTGGCATTAGTGGCTTTCCCTGCTCCAGCGAGGTGGGACATTTTCTTCTGCATGAGTTTGGAACTGGCTGTCTGGTGTCCATCCTTTTCCATAAGGGCACAGAGGATGTTCAGATGAGGGGTGAAAAACTAGCCTGGTGTGCCTTTCTGGAGAAAGGAGTCGAAATAAAGATGACCCAAGTCGGAAGGACAAGCTCCTTCCAGTGTAGTCCACTCAGACACACACACACACACACGGGGTCAGTGGCTCACTGTGACCCCACTTTGTGTGTAAGTGTGTGTGTGCACACGCACGTGCATTCCATTTCCCTTTGCTGCTGGCCTCTGGCTCCACGTGCTGGTGCATTTCCTAATGCACAGCTGAAGTGCTCAGGAACCACCATGCTGTGTGGTCTCGGCCATGCTCAGCAATAGGAAACGGCATCCCACCAGGCAGGGAGAGAGTTAGGTGAGGTGCTTCAGTGACAGCTTCCCAGAGAGCATCCGCAGGAAAGGTTTGCATTGGAAACCTGTCATTTACTTGAAAATCAAGTATGGTGGCTTGGCCTCATGTTCAGAGCCCTGAACCCTTCTTTTTCAGAAGGAGCTACCCCACTGGTGATGTATAAGTAAGATTTAGGAAATGGGGTCCAGGAACTGGGAGGCCTCACTCCCCACGGGTTTTCCACATTTTCATTGAGTCTTTTTCTGTCCCTCCTGCAGCGTTGTCAGTCGGAAGGCCCGTGCAGTGTACCCATGCGAAGCAGAACACAGCTCGGAACTGTCTTTTGAAATAGGAGCAATTTTTGAGGATGGTAAGTATTAGCAGGATGTTCATGGTAAGATGTGTTCTGTCACCCCAGGATACCTCCACATGGAGTTCATAGTTGTGTACATTCTGTGTATATTGTGGTGATCTTTTGATGATCTGGACAGGAGAGTGCTGACCCCTTTGGCTCCCAGGCCCTGAGCACCCTGTTCCTGGTCTTGGATCCCATTTCTGCTCTCGTCTTGATTATTCCACAGTCCTTTTACTTTGTGGGGATCTTCCTTGAGGTCCTTGGTCCTCATGGAAAGAAGCTAGAGCCACCTGGAGTTAATACTTCTGATTTGCTTCCTTTGTTTTCTGGGTCTCCCTAACCAAGCCTCCCAAATGCTTCAGTTTTACCAAATCTGTGCTCTCAGAAAGGAGTCTCATGTGCAGAGTATTTTGATTTATAATCCCCTCACCATCTCGCGCTTCACGTTTTTGCCAACTTGAACCGTATGTGAATCTCTGGATATGGGTATTGGCTTTGCATGTTGGAACAAGGGTGTAGCTTTTTGAGGATTTAATATTTTTCGCACAAGCATTTTGCAGCTATACTTGGTTTAATATTTTAGAAATTTCTCTTATGGTTCAGTGTATTTTTTTCCCCCTGGCTCCTGATGTCTACCCTCTCTAGTCCCGCTCATTATGAAATTCATTGGTTGCTGTGGAAACAGTGATGTTGTGTGTGGGTGGAGCTCCCCAGAAGAATTCGGGGGAAGCTGGGCGAACCTTGGATGTTTGGAATGGAAGGGCTG